ATGTGTCCTTTCCCTTGTGTACTAAACATAACCTATAAATAATAAGAAAGTGGCGGTGGCAGATCTGTTAGAATCTGTTCCTTCTTTCAACCACTTGTGTTCTCCTGTTCCTCTTCTATTCTCTCTTCTTTCTCTCACTTTTCTTCTATTTTGTAAACCTAAAACCTATTAGGATTCAAGACTGATTACAGTCTTGATCTTCTACTAAGAGAAAGCCAATTGCCAGAAAAATGAGAAGACAGAGTTCCTTAAAAAATACTAGAAGCACCAGCCCAACTCTTCAAATACCATTCCACCTTACTGATGACTGCTTCCAAGGGAGCAGATTTGACTTAAAAAATTCTGCTATTTTGCTCCTTCCATACCACCCAGCAAATAACTAAAGGCAAACAATTCCAAAGAAACTTCCTTTTAAGAGAAAAAATCCCCAGCCTCCAGGAAGAAATCCACTCAGCCACTGAAAAAGGGAAAGAGCACTGGAGCCGAAAAAGCCTTAGGATATGGCATCAGATCTGGTGAGTGAAGGAACATTGAATCAATAGATGATCAGAAGGTTCTGGATCCTCACCACACAAACAACGGATGTTATTCAACTCCATTGCCCTTCTTGTGAAGGCATCCAAAGTTTGAATATTTCCTTTACTAGCCAGACAGATAAAGAAAATGACTTTAGTGGGCACCTCAGATTTTCAAATCCAGGACCCAGAAACCTTATCAAAAGGACCCAGCAAAGATGATAAAAAGACTTGGTTGAAAACAAGCCAGAATTCACCCCTTTCCACAGCCACATGTCACTAGAACCTGGATTTATTTCCACCCTATGCATGTAATCCAACAAGTTCACAAGAGAGTTAATTTCCCAATCAATGAGATTTCTTCGAAGCTTGGGACCCAAGCCACTTGACCATTGTTCAGAGCCAAGAAGTCATTGACTGGTCCTTGTTATCAGCAAGCACAAAAAGGGCAGGGAAGAGCTCACACAAAGGTTGGTCCCCACACCCGGAATCCTTCCAGAAATAAATGCTACTACCCCCATCCGGCTTAAAAGTAATGTTCCTCCAGAAAAAGGAAGCCTTGCCATGACCCCCTTCCAAAGTACAAAAGGACTGTTGAGGCTCAAGTAGGATCCAGCCATAATGGCTGCAAATACAAATGAGTATGGTACAATAATAGTGTCTTTTTTTTGGGGTTTTAAACATGATATTGAACTTTACTTCTTCTTAGATTGTGCTCAGTTTAGTTTTTTCTTCTCTTTGAATAATTTCTTCTGTTTCTTGATTTTATTTCTATGGTATTACATGGATGGGTAATATGGTTTCATGGGTTTTCTTTTTCTTAATGCTAACAGGGCAGATATTGCATCAAATAATTAAACAGACAAACCCTTCTTCGTCAATGTATTTGGAACCTATGAGTGGCTGGTAAGAATCCTTTTAGCATTATGAACATTAGTTGATAGGCTATAGTTATTATTTTTATTTTTATTTTTTAATTTCAAAAGAAGACAACTGTTTTTCATTGAAAAGAGGCAAAAAAGAGACATACCTGAGGGAGCTTACATGAATGCACACAATGTATACACAAAAGGGTAAATTAATTAAACATCTCTGGTTTCTGACAACTGCTTAAAACTCCCCTATGGTATTATGACCTCCACTTATTTCTCCCTCCATGTTCTGGAAACAAAAACAATCGTGCCCCTCCCATTAGTTTTACAGCAGGATTATAACAGAAAGTGGGGATGTGATGCCTTAAACATTTTGAGTTTCCAGTTTTATGTCCCCAAAAGGCGATTGAATTATTTAATTGGTATTCATTGTTCACTTGTCAGGATGACATTGCCCTTTGCCAAAGTTTGTATCTGAGCAACAAAAAATGTGCAAATTTAGAAGGTTTCAGATAGCCAATAATGTTGACTAACCATTGTCTCATGAGCGTACATGAATGTTGCGTCTTAGCTATTCTATGCTGAATGTCTAAAATCAGGCAGTCCATTTTTAAGTGGACTACCTAGGCTTCTGAATTCACAGAGCAATACCCAGATAAGAACTGACAAAAATAGTTGATAGAAGAAGTTGAACTCTTATAAACTGAATGTGCGACTTTACATCGGACACCCTCAAAGTAAATGAATAGCTGAAAAGGAGATATAAATTTTCACCTTGTTTCAATCATGGGATTCCCAATTAATCAGATTTTATTGTAAGGTACAAGATAAAATAAGAAACATAAAATGCTTATATGAAAAATGAAACAAATTCCTTTGAAAATATGCAGCAGAAAACACTTACATAGACCCATAATACGAATCAAAGGAGAAACATATAAAAAGAACACTTTTATGTGTAGAAAGAACCACCTTTAATTTCCTCAAAACCAGATTGCAGGTGAACTCAATTGGCCTCTAGTATCCTGGAGACATTATTTTCATAGTTGTACACCTAATGAAATGGTCTTTTCACATATTTCAATCATTATCATCTAAGCTTTGTCCCAACTATACAGGGTCAGCTACATGAATCCTATTTTGCCATTCCATTGTGTTTAGTGCCATATCCATTGTTAAATTATGGGTGCTTAAATCATTTCTTATTACTTCCATCCGAGTCCTTTTTGGTCTGCCACTAGCTCTTCTAGCCTCTTCAACTTGTAACAGATCACTTTTTCCAAGTTCTAACAGGTCCTGCAGATGGTCCATTTATACACATCCTTCAACACTTCCAATAATTCCCTATCCCTTAGAGGGGTATTGATCACAGTAAGCTCCTTCTGCTCTCCTACCATTCAAACTATCACTACTCACTATATCTACAACCTCCACTCCACTTTCTTCATGTTTCTCATCTTCCTCAATCATCTCTACATTATGCTCTCCTTTTTATCTTTCTTCATCTTCTTCCAACTCTAGTTTTCTCCTCCTTTCTCACCACCTTCAAGTCTTTGGGCTCTAACTAAATCCACCAATCACCTCTGTTCTTACTCTGTTGAATGGGTTGAAGAAGTCCCACGTAGCACTCCTATGGAGATAGTCATGGGGGCATTTTTTGCATAAAATACTGGCAAACATCGTGTTATTCTTTTTTTTTTGTGGTATTTATGTTCATGGGACTACATAACGTATCTCATCTCCCATACCCTTAATCCCCCAACCCTGGCAACAGCAGGATTTGATCCCAAGTCTCCACTACATCCAACAGGAGATCCCACCAACCGAGCCATCATCAGATGATTTCAAGTGATTCTTCTTGTTCTTCCTTTCCCACTTCCTCCTCCCTCCTTGACTTCAAAGAGTCTAACAACTAGAAGAATATGATGACTGATAGGCAACAGCTTTCTTTGTAGTTTTTGTATTTGATGTTTGGAGAGGCGGCACCTCGCGCCTCTAAGGGGATGTAACCAATCTTTGAATTAATGGAAGATGATTTTATTTATCAAAAAAAAAAAAAGGCAACAGCTTTCTTCTGTTAATTTTGTTGGTGCCTTCTGGGAATATCGGTTTTGAAATTACATTATGGGTAGTGGTAGAGGGTGAAGTAGGACAAGGAGGGAAGGTGATGAAGAACAGTGAAGGTGGAGAGGAATGGTGAGTAATGAACAGCCTTGCAACCACTGCAATAGCATAGAGAGAGTGAAAGTATTTGCAGTGCACATCAACAAGGGTGTAGCCAGGGTAATTTGGAAAATCTTTACTGCACTATTCATATTCATGGGCAAGTTGAGATTTAAAAATATTTGAGGCATCACATCATTACTTTCTGTAATTTTAAAATATTTAGGGCATCACATCATTAGTTTCTGTTATGATCCTGATGTCAAGCTAAATGAAGTGGTATAATTGCATCTTTTTTCAGAATATAGAGGGAGAAAATAAGCAGAGCAGAGGTCATAGTACAGGGGAAGTTTAAGCAGTTGTGAGAAACCAGAGGGGAGGTTCAAGTAATCCCCCCCACCCCCAATAAATAAATAAATAAAAATAAAAGCATTTTGATGGTTAAAAACTTTTGCTATATAAATAAGGTCTTCCAGCCCCAGATTTTGCAAGCTTTTGCTATAGAATTTAGAATCTTGGAAGTTGGAACCACTAGTCATGAATTCTCTAATTTTATTTAAGAGATGATCCAACTTCCACTTTCTTGTTCCACCTGATTGCAATTGATGAATCCCTCTGAATGGTCAAAGAAAAGATAAATAGTTGCTTAGAAATTTTGATCCTCTTGAGAAAGTCCTTCAGTTCCTATGACATTGGTGTGACCTCTGGGACCACTGTAAGCACAAAGGATAGTGCCATCCTGCTTCCAAAAGTCCCTGCCAGTTTCAGATGGTTTGTTGATAGGATGTAAATATGTAATTTAATGCTTTAAATTGTTTACTTAAATTACTTCTGTGTTAAAGTTGCAATACTCTATTTTTTTACTTGTTCAATTGTCTTTTTCCGTGAAAACTTGCTTCCAGGTTTGATGCAGCAGGAAATGAATTGCTAGGTTTGCGTTTCTTTGATATACTGGAGTCATGGTATAACTGCAACTTGCTTTTCTATTTGATTAATAAAAGCAGCATTGTTGTTGAAATTAGAGATAATATAACTTTGACTTGAACTGAGATTATATCCATAGTTTGATTTTACAGGGCTAAATTTTGGTTAAATTGCAGCCATTGGAAAGTTTTAGGCCTTCTAACACCATAGAGGGTTTATTGTCACCACATTTTTAGCAAGAGTTGTATAGAGGTTATGGTAACCCAACTCATTAAGGGTTCAAGTGATTGTGCTATTTCAAATCTAAACCCATCATAGAATTTTAAATAAAATTGATGGAAAATATAAAAACAAAATCTAAGAAAATTTGTGTGCTTGTGCAAAGACTTGTTGCCTTCTTTTCAGGAAAGTTAACCAAAAATAAAGTATTAGTTTCATATCCAGCAGTGAGGGATTGGTTTTGAAGGTCTTAACTTTTCCATTCTTTTTTTTTTTTCTTTTTAAAGCTATAGTGTTGAGAAGAAGAAAAAAGAGAAGAAAATAGAAGGAAACTAAACATTTTTATGTGCCTCTCTAGCTCTCCAGGATATGTTAGACAACTAAACCCTTCTTTCTGCTTACATGGGATCTAATAACCCAGTGGCTGACGGATTAAGCAGTGAGGGTTTGAGGTTTTACATTTGGTTCTTTACTATACAGGCCATGCTTGTATGTATTTGATTCATTATTGTTACTTATCTTGGTATTTCCTTTCTAGGTACTTCTCTTGGTGACCCCCTTCTGTAGTTTCTGTACCATTTCCCCGTTTTTCTTTTATGCATTCTCTTAATCAGTTGCTGATAAAAAAAATGTAACGGTAAGATACTTTCATCAGGGTGTACGATTGGGTATTAACCACACACATACACACATACACATATACCAAGATTACATTGGAAATTGGAAGTTTCTTCTGATACTGCTTGTTTCTTCTTTATAATGCAAATTAGAACATCCTTTCCATCTTTATTGAGTGCTTAAGGAGATAGGCAGCATGAATTCAGAATTTTAAGTCTTTCTAGGACTCTTCAAATGCCATTTATTAAGTATAATCATGTTTTTCAGTATAGGACCTCTTGGAATGGCCAGCTTGGATTCTGTATTAGCTTTCGTTATTCTGAAGAAGTTAGAACATGCATTAAAAATTTTAAGAAGCCTGGTAAGCTTCATAAAAAGAGAATCTTCATACGTATGTTCTCTATGAATATGCATTTCTTCAAATGGGAACAATATATATCATCAATTGATTTCGATGATATCTTCTCTATGTTCTCAAGTAAGTTTGGTTTTATTGCAGTTAGATGCAAGATGCTTGGGAGAGTTACGGATGCTGGATAGTGCTTTGGGTCCTCCTAGTTCTCTACCTTTATTGAGGTGGTCTTCTTACAAGAAGATGGTATGAAGGTTCTCATCTTGAAATATTATAGGTATATAGTCCTATGTATCTTATTATACTTGGCCTGTTACCAAATTGCTAGAAATTTTATTGGCTGGAATTCTTTTTTTTTATTGGGATGGTTTCATTATAAGCATATGGTATGAAGGTTCCCAGATTGAAATGCTATATGTAGGTACATAGTCCTATATATTTGATTTTACATGGGCTGTTACCAAATTTCTAGAAATCTTGATAGGCCAGAACTCTGTTTTTATTGGAAAGAAGAATGCTACCATAGTATTCTCTTGTCTAGGATTTTGTCACTTTGAATGAACTTTTTCACTATTTTTGTTTGCCCATTTCAGCAGCCCAGGACCAACTCAAGGCCTTCCCTTGCTATGCAAAGGTGTACCTGTGCAAACCATGTCATCAGGAGTCTGAATGCTGCACACAACACTCTAATATCAATCGTAACTAATTGTACCAAGACTTTCATGATGTAAAGGCTATAAAAGGGCCTAGTTGAATGGATTCGAAGCCCCTCTATTGTCTGGAGGTTGGGACCCTCGAAGCCCCTCTATGTTAGGCAAAAACCTAACAAATTGGTATCAGAGCAAGGTCGAACCAGATGACCATAACCAGAGCTTCAACTATTGGAAGATTGAAGGAGATCTACACCAGGTGGCATCAGATCTAAGAGAAATCAAGGAGACTTTGCCTGCTGTAATGACCAGATGTGATCAGTTGACACGGACCGGAAACAAAGACAATGATGATGAAGGATCAAGCTAGGGGAGTAACAGGAGGCTTAGGGCGGCAAACTGGAGGCAAGTGAAGCTTGAGTTTCCATCATTTGCAAGAGATAATCTAGTTCCTTGGATGAACATGTGTGGACATGGGAGTTACCACCTAATTTTTATGCCCCAAAATTAGGAAAAAGATGGAAAGTGGGGATAGGGATGACTTTAGAAAAGCTTTTTTAGTCTAGAAAAGGGGGATTTAGTCTGAAACCATCTAAGTGACTCTAAAATAGTCTGTAACTAGGCTAAGGGGGTTAGGTTATGAGTGCAGAAGGTTTTAAACACCACACTTTCTTGGAATCAAAGTTTTGGTCTCTACTTCATTCCTTTATTTCTTAGGATTTATGTTTCACCATGTAGAGAGATTGGGCCAAGTGGACCTTAGTTTTATTCATTTATTTATTTAGTCACTTTATTTCTGCTGTAGTGGGCCTTCTTTATTGGCCTTAAAACTTTTAATTTCTTATGTGCCTTGGGTTAGCCACCTAACTAGGGGCACCTATGTATTTTTTTTTCTCTTTTTATTCAACATATATAAATTGATTAAAGGATAGAGAGAGAAGTTCGATTAAGCTCTTCTTCTTCTTCTTCTTCTTCTTCTTCTTTATTTTCTACTTTACAATCAGGATTCTTGTTGGATTATATTTCTTCTTGATATCAGAGCAAGCTCTCACTACCTACTTTTTTCCTTTCAATCCCATACACTATGTGTATGGAGAACTAAGTTGCTAATCAATTGAAAAATGATGTTGCTCAGTTAGGGGAGATTTCTAGAGAAGATTAAACATTCAAATTGAGGCCCAAGACAGGTTCTTGGAGATTTTTCTTGGAAACTAATTGGAGAAATCAAATTAAGTGGTCTAGAGACAATTTAAAGCTGGTGTTTGGAGCTTATAAGGGAGTTTATTGATCTATTTGGAGATTGACTCTGGTTGGACTGTTGGAGAAGCTTTTGGAGTCCCTGGTAGGAGTGGCCATAAGTTCTCTCTTTCTCCTATTCCGCCGTGTACTGTGAAACCCTAGTTTTTGGCTACAAAGAAGCAGCAAGTTTGGCTTTAGGTTAGTGTTTTTTGGTTAGTAGTATCTTGTTTTTATTTTCATGGTCTCTGTTTAATCAATGGAGTAAACTGGACTTCAGAAATATCCTATAGACTCTAGATGTAGCCAGGGGGTCTATGGAGACTATTTGGGCATTGACTATTCTGAAGCTAAGATGGGTCTAACTATTTGGCATGGTCTCAGTTAATAAAAATCCATGTCTTAGAAGAGGAAAATTGGGGTACATCACCGGGAGTAAGGCAAAACCTAAGAAAGATGATCCTATCTATGAGAAGTGGATGCAGGAAAACTATATTGTTGTAGGCTGGTTAGTGAATTCTATGCAACCCAGTGATTTAAAAGGCATGCCTCAGGTGTGCCTAGGCGCATAGACGAGGTGCATTTTAGGGTATGTGCCTCGCCTAGGTCTTAGGCGCAGCCCTTTCAAAAGGTGTACACCTGGTGTGCCTAGGCGTGCGCCTGATGTGCCTTGCACCTCAGCCTAGGCGTGCGCAAAGGCGACTTATTTGTGTGAGAACTAAGAATTTAAGACCCTAACATAGACTCATTTGGGCTTGCCTCGAGGGGTTTGACACAAAGGCTACTTGTAGAATTCGGAATGCAATATGCTTTACATCACATTAGCTACTTGAAATAATGCAATTGAGGAAAAAGAAAAGAGATTGTGGGTTTTACATGCTTGAAAATGTTTTATACGTTTGTTTTTATTTTTAAAATTTCATTTGAATACACTTTACATGTTATGTTTATGTATTTTAATTTTAGATAATAGGTTTTTAAAACATTTATTTTAAAATTTTAGTTTATATTTTTTATTAATATTATGTTTAATATTTTTATTTTTTTATTTTTTGAATTTTTTGGCATTTGATTTTTTAATTTTTTGACTTTTTATTTTATTTTTTAGCTTTTGTTTTTGTATTTTTGCGCCTTGCTTCAAAAATGCGTGCGCCTCGAGGGCAAATTTCCCCTTGCGCCTTGCACTTTTAAAACATTGGTGCAACCTCATATCAGTCAACACCACTTATAGGTAGATACTGCTAAGGAGGTATGTGATAGTGTTAAAGAGACCTACTCACAAAAGTTGAATGTTGCTAGGGCTTATAAATTAAAGAATGATGTGAATAATTTAAGACAAGGGGAGAAGCCCTTAGTTGTGTATTTCTCAATATTGAAGTCTCTCTAGCAGGAAATTGATTTGATGGAGGCAGTTCAATGGGAGTTCACAAAAGATGCTAAAACTCATAGGAAATTTGTGGAGAGGAATCAAGTTTTTGAGTTCCTCATTGGACTCAATCCTGAATATGATATAGTTCGACAAAATGTTTTAGGTAAAGATGATGTGACCCTTTCTAAGGCTTATGCTATGGTTAGTAGTGAGGAAATTAGAAGACAAGTTCAGATAGTGGAAGTACTAGTAGATCATTTTGCTAATGTTGGGATGAAGCAAAAGGTTATTATTAAGAGGAAGGAGGTTGTGTGTAAATACTACAAGAAGTCGAAGCACAGAAAAGACACCTATTGAAAATTGCTTCTAAAGCTCTTAACTCCTAGATTTAAGAATAATAATGATAGAAATAGTAGGAATGGGAAAGGGGGCAAGGCTAATGTAGCCATCTCCTTTGATGGTGAAAGGGGGTAGTGTGATGGAAAGTCCATAGGGGAACAACTTGTAGCCGTTGGGGCTGAATATGGGAAGTATGGTCGTATTATCATTATTCCTGCTATTGCGAATCACACCTCTACTTCGGGTAATCGTACGATCCCTTGGATAATAGATTCTGGTGCTTCTAACCATATGACTAATGTTTCCACTTTATTCACTACTTACTAGCTTATATCTGGCTATCGAAAAATATCCCTTGTTGATGGTTCTCTTGCCCCCATCTTGGTTAAGGGAGACATCAGAACCTTAGATTCCCTTACTTGGACCTTTGTACTTCATGTACCAAAATTTAATACTAATCTACTTTCAGATAGTAATTTGACTAAATCTCTAAATTGTAGTGTAACCTTTTTGCCTTCCTATTGTGTTTTTCAAGATGTGAAATCTTAAAAGGTGATTAGGAGTGGCCATGAGGTGAATGGGATATATCTGTTAGACATGTTGAGCAGAGCCAAGTATAGCCTCAAAAATAAACTTTTGGATTTATAGTGCCAAAGTCAGTTAGTCGTGTCATTTTATGTCACTATCATCTGGGTCATCTTTCATTTTCTTCATTAAAGCTTTTGTTTCCTATGTTTCCTATGTATGTCTACACTATGATCCCTAAGTTTTCAAAGCATTGTAGAAACTCTTATCTTGTAAGTAATTAAAGATCCGCTTTTCCATTTAACATTGTTCACTTTGATGTGTGGGGGCCTTACCATTTACCTTTCATGGGATGCTATAAATATTTTATTCTGTTCATTGATGATTTTTCCCACTACACTTGGCTTTATCTTATGCATTCTTGTGCTAAAGTACCTAAGCTTGTTAAACAACTTCATGAATTTGTGCTTACCTTGTTTGACACTTGAATCAAAATAATTTGGTTAGGCAATGCTAGAGAATATTTTAAGAAGGATCTTATCTCTTAATTTGAGAAGTTTGGAGTAGTTTAGTAAAGCTCTTGTGCTCGCACTCCCAAGAAAAATAGGGTGGTGGAGAGAAGGAACTGATACATTGTGGAAGTTGCTAGAAATATTCTTTTTGCTTCCCTTATCCCTGTAAGATTTTGTGGTGATGTAGTGGTTATGGCTACTTATCTTATTAATCGTATGCCTTCCAGGGTTTTGAAGTTCAAGTCTCCCTTCAATGTCCTTTTTCTTGACCTTGATGTTTTTTTATTCCCTTATGCATTTTTGGGTGCACTTGCTATGTTCACGTTCCTAGTTCCTAAAGACATTTTCCCACGTTTCTAGGAACAGCATTTTCTGGGGTATACCCCCACATAGAAGGGTTATTGTTGCTTTGATTTGATCCCACTTGTCACCCGGTTTGTTTTTATGGATGTCACTTTTGCAAGGTTAGTTCCTTTTTATAGCCATTCTTCAGAGGGTGACCCTTTATTTAGTCATTCTTCAACTCCTTTGGTTCCTTTAGTTGAGTCTTCTAGCTCCCCATCCTTGCACCTCCTGCACCTCTTCCTAGTTCTCTATTCACTACACCTCCTGTTC